GCTCAAGCCCCGGCACCGCGAAGCGGCTGCTGCCCTGATGCAGCACAAAATGAGGTAGAAATGTCATGAAGGCGCCACAGTCAAATCAGGCTCCACAAAATTTGGCCCTTCATGCAGTTCACGAAAGGCTCCAAGAGTTTCTTCATCCAGTCAATTTAGATGAAGTGGCTCTTGTCAAAATGTCAGTGGAAATTCATTTCATTCTCCACGGTATGATATCCACAAGCTAGCCAGCTTGTGGATCTTTCAAATCAGTGCATTTGTCTTAATCCTTGGCCACAAGTCTGTCTGTTTAAAAAGTCGGAGTCAAAGTCAGACTTTTTTTTTAATTGCGTTTTCAATGTAATGCATTAGTGCCATCAGTGTTGCAACATATCTGTGCAGTACTGAACCAGCTGTAGTTGCTCCCCAACAACAACAGAAAAATGGCCAAAAAGTTATAGCACAGATCATCGTTGAAAATATGATCCGATTAAAGTGACCTGAAATTGATACTGACGTGGACTGAAATCTGATCAAAGATGGCTGCTGAAGCTATTCTTTGTGGGTTAAATATCATGTTTTTGTTTGTTTTTTTGCCAGTGTTTTATTTGTTGGTAAGCTCCATAACCTCCCTGCTAATTAGCAATCACATAGTAGTGCCACCTTTGTGTGCACATGTGGTTCACAAACTGGGGTCCGCCCGTCCATCGTAATCTGGTGTATGGTTGCCAAAATCTTTTCCATAAATTCATTTGTGTCGTTTTGAAAAACCTACTTATGGAGACCATGCAGTGCGTCAATAAAACAAAGATACTAAACTAGTACGTACGGTAAGTGAAAGAATCACTGAATTACATTTCTAAACTGTGCATAATAGTACAGCGACTTAAGCTTATGTTCAAACCCGTTACAGAGGAACCTCGAGTTACACACGAGTCTTTTTACAAACTTTTTACGTTACACACACATTTTTGGGGGCTTCTAGTTACGTACATGTTTGGCAATGTGAACTTTCTCAGCATGGATGAGTGGACGAATCAGTGTTGTGCTTTTCGCGATATTTCACTGTCATTGCCATAGTTGTGCTGTTTTTTGTTTTTTTAACTCTTAATCAGACCTCAGAATAATTGACAGGTTGTGCCTGTAAATGCCCTAAAAACACACATAAAACTCAAAGTCTCCTCTACGGCAGCAAATTGAAGGTTGTCGTGTGTGCAGCTGTAAGTTCCGCCGAAGCGCTTCTTTCACATTATCACAGCGGCTGCCATAAATTGTGTGTGTGTGTGTGTGTGTGTGGGTGTGTGTGTGTGTGTGTGTGTGTGTGTGTGTGTGTCACAAAAAAAGACAATTAGAAAATGGACAAAATTGTAATTTTGGAAGGTGACTCTTTTTCAACGGAGGAGCTGTTCTCACCTTCTCACTTCATTAGCGTGCTGTTATTAATTCCATTGAGTATATTTTCACTTTTTCCGATCCGCTTTATCCTCACAAGGGTCGTGGAATGTGCTTTAGCCTATCCCAGCCGTCTTCAGGCAGTAGGCGGGGGACACACCAACAACCATCCACGCTCACGCTCACACTCACACCTAGGGACAATTTGGAGTGTTCAATCAGCCTGCCATGCATGTTTTTGGAATGTGGGAGGAAACCAGAGTACCCAGAGAAAACCCACGCAGGCCCGGGGAGAACATGCGAACTCCACACAGGGAGCCCGGAGCAGGGATTGAACCCTAGACCTCTGCACTGTGAGGTCGACGCACTAACCACTGGACCACCAGGCCGCATCTTTATGATATACTGTATTTATTTTCAACCACACACCGATTAAAATTAGAATTAAAAATGTTTACCATAGGCTTGAACACAGGACACAGTTGCAAGGTCCAGAGTAAAGGAGATATTTATGTGAGGATCAGTGGCTGAAAACTCAAAAACTCAAGGCCCATTTTAACACAAGGTAAGGGGCAACAGGTTAGAAACAATCCGAGCGGAACTGACAGACTGGCACAAGAGGAACGGCAAGTGAACTGAAACTAGAGAGGAGAAAATAAAACAGGAAGTGACAAGACAAACACAAACCACCCTCTCCGCGGTATGACACACAAAATGGAAATCTGATGTATAATTTGGGGGCTGGAATAGCTGAATTGCACTTCCATTCCTTTCAATGGGAAATTTTACCTCGATTAACGAACCTTTTGAGTTGCAAACGGGGTCACGGAACCAATGAGGTTTGTAAGTTGAGGTACCACTGTACTTGAATGTGTTAAGAACACTTCAGTTGTGTTGAAGTGCATTGGCATCTCATCTTTTTGAAGCTGTCTAGTATTAAACTTTTAACTGCAATACATTTTTGTTACATCAATGATGTACTTTTATTCCTAGCTTTAAGCGCAGTGTTGAAAAAGTGTTCCGAAAATGACAGTTGCTTTTTATAATATGAAATGTACATTGTGGGAACAAAAGCTGATGGTGGTTGGTGTGAAAAGTTTGAGAACACTCAACTTAACCAGTTCTTCCTTGTTACCTTAGCTTTGGGCCACTTGAAAGATCTGATACGATTGTGATGTATCGTCACTTATATCCGTCATCCCTGCATTACGAAAGGCAGCTCTTTGTTCAACCCAAAGACATCATTACAGGAATTTAGTGCTTTTTTTTGCAGGGGGGGGGGGGGTAATTGTGTCTTTATCAGCATCTGTTTTAGTTTTGCAATTCACTTTCCAACCTGGTTTATCGTTGACCATAATATAGTAATATCTGAAATAAAATGCTGATTAGTTTTGTGAGCTGATGACATTTGATGCTCTCGAAACACATCTTTGTGCTTGGCAAGACTGCGTCTTTTTCTTCTTGAAAAACGGCAACTTTATTCACATCACGTTACAGCTTTTTTGGAGATGAGGTTTGAGTTTCGTAAAGTGCTGAATTTTCTTGCTTATGTGTCCCCCCTAACGAGGTTCTCTCCACTTTCTTTGTTTTCCTGCAGAGGTAGTCTGCTCACAAAGAGGCAAGATCAGGCCGCCCGGAAGATCATGAGGTTTCTGCGTCGCTGCCGCCACAGGTGGGCCCCCAAACATGTACATTCACCACATTTGATTGCAAGGAGCCTTTCACCGCCCAACTGAGCTAATCGGCTAAATTGACTGTTTAGATTTCATGACCTTAGCCAATTGATGAGTTAGTTGGGTTTTTTTCTTAGCGTTGGTTGGATGTGGTTGAAACTTTGAGTCGCCCTCTCCTCTGACTGTAATTGGCCCCCACCTTGTGCTCGCACCGCTCCTGCCGAGTGCCTACTGTGTGCTAATAGCTGTCTGCTATTGTTTTGCTGTTTACGCCAAGCCCCTTGATGGACCATAGACTGTTCAAGCGGGTGAGTGCTGCCTCAGCAACTCAGTTCCTGCCTCTCTCTCTCTCTCTCTCTCTCTCTCTCTCTCTCTCTCTCTCTCTCTCTCGCTCTCTCTCTCTCTCTCTCTCTCTCTCTATATCGACTAATACAAAGATCTCCTCATGCGCTCTTGGCGTTTGCATTTTCTCTCTCTCTTTCTCTTTCTCTTGTTCTCTCTCTGTCTTTGCTGCTTCTCTTGTGAGCCAACTTGCTCCTCCATCACTTTTGCTTGATGCCTGCTTGCATGAGGGCTGTCAGCTGGAGCCACGGGTGTGTTGAAGAGCTCCCGATCAGAGCCAGACTTTTGTTAAACTAACAGGAATGGTGCAACAGACTTTTTTCTCTTGACCTGTCTTTCTCTCCTTCCATCTTGGTTTCATTGCTGTTGTGGCAATTTACACAGAGAGACAGTTTGAGAGAGCGCGGAGGTTGCTTCTGTTTTGTTGTTCTTTTTGATTTTTGATCACATCTTCCTCTGCTGCATGTCAGATGTTGACAACTTTCGGCCTGAAGGCATGCTCTGGGCCTGTTGCTTACTCAAGTTGTCTCCCCTTTGCCGGCTGGCTGTTTGTCTTGTTTCTTACCACCTGACGGATTGAGAAGGACTGAAACCGTCTTGTTCTTGCTGAAAGTTGAAACTGTCGGGTGACAAATTAAAGGTGAAACCAATCCAAGTTGGGATATGAAATACTCCCCCATGTCGTAATATTAGCAGATTGCAATGTCTTTAGTCTTCCATCATCTGAGTTTAGAAGCACACGCATGATCATCTGTATCGAGTCATTATTTTCCACATGGTTCCTTTAACTGGTCACCCGTCCGTTGATCTCTTCTGCAGAAATAAGCAGGCAGGATTATGTAGCGCCCTGCACTAGAACAGTCTCTGAGCTGTCTTGTCTAATAGGTCACACTGGCAGGAAAGCAAATAGGTCAGAGGGGGGAAAAAATAAAACACACACAATAGATTCCTCTCCCTACTGGGAGAGCAGTCATAGATTCTCACCTGCAGAGGCCCATGTAGGTCACAAGGAAGTACAACCTTAGCAAAGTTGAAGTCACGATGGGTGATACAAGACATTGGTGGCCTCCACAGAGATTTGCATTTGTCAGAAGGACACGAGCCTCTTTGACCAAGGCCAAACGGAAACATTTGACCCATCAAAAGTCAACCCTCAGCTTGACTGTCTGTCTTGGCTTTGTATTAAAATTGATTCAATACATTTTTTTAATCATCACTGATCAGCAAAGGAGTCAACTGCCAAGTGCTACATTTTGCGCACTGGTATTTTGTATGCCCCCAAAATAGGGTGACAATAAAAGTACAGTCCTACCTTGAGAGACGAATGACTGTACTTTTTCAAGATACAAGCTCTCATTTGGACAGTTTTTTTCTTTGACCTGCAAGCCATAATTTGATACAGAAGCGCAGGGAGCTCAACCCAAGCCATGTCACGACAAGCAGCAGTTTGGTATAGCGAGCAATTCTTCCATAAGTGGCTTCAGGCTATTTATCGCCTCTCGTAGTTACTGTCAATCCAAACAACAAACAAAGAAAATTACACCTTGTGCACTGACAACAACGACACAGTCTTGAGTCCATTGAGTTTGATGCTAACAAACAATGCCGAACACCATGGACAGGCTAATGAGTAGCCCGAGTGTAACCGTGTCATGACCCCAAAAGCAATGGATATTTGTACATAAATGATACAGCAACACATGCAGGTACATAATTTAACAATTTTCAGAGGCATAATTTCTTTATCCTCTGCCAGAAACAACTAATCTTGCTGCAGAGTAGTGAGTCAGTTGCCAAAGTCGTCGTCGTGTTTCACTGTTTGTCTGTAATATACTGCCCCCAGGTGACCAACGCGTGCAAAGTACAGTCTTTTAGAGTGCTACTTTATATATTTTGCAAAAAGCACTTACCGGTATTTGTTTTGTATTTCCATCTATTTTATTGGGGAAGAATGATTTTCAATACATGTGTTTTGTTTCGTGATCTTGGAATCAAACTTCATTCTCAAGGTGCCACTGCAATGCGCAATATCAACTGAAAATCTATTTACCGTACTGATGACATTGAAGGTTGTCATATTAACATAAAAAGTTGGTCCATAGGGTATGCTGCGCCAAACATAAGCGCGTAATCCAATCATGATGTGTATGTCTTTTTCAGACGGTTGTATGAATGCAAAGCAGTCCCCAAGAGTGCCTTTTTGCATTTGAACCAATGTGTTGTGTGATTTTCTTGGTGTTGCAATGACTAACATTTCCTTTCACAGGGCTGCCGTCTTGATGGCGCTGCCGACTTTGACATTGTGACGTAAAGGTTGAGCCTCACGCCAGAGAGTTTTAATGTTCATGGGCCTGTGTGTGTGTTTGTGTGTGTGTGTGTGTGTGTGTGTGTGTGTGTGTGTCTGTGTGTGTGTGTGTGTGTGTGTGTGTGTGTGTTGCAGGGTGAAAGAATCGAAAAGGGCCAGGGAACATGAGCATGCTCACAAGCCCGCCCTCCCAATGTGACGTCTCTCCGCCAGCGGCTCCTTTTTAATTGGTCTTTTTTTTTTTTCCTTTGGACCCACCATTGAACAACAGAAGCAGATGGAAAAATAGCATCAGTGCAAAGTGCAATGCCCCCCCCCCCACACACACACACACAAACAGTTTCACTTGGAGAGTTGCAACTTTATGGGATTCTAAACTTGTGGGGGTGAGGACACTGCAGCATTTCTCTTCATGGCATTTTTTTTTGTTTAAATTGTTTGCACTTTTTCCTGGACATAATGAAAGAAGAGAGCGATGGACAAGCCTGACAAAGTCAATCAAAGTGAAGCTAAAACTAGGCTGCTGCTGCTGCTGCTGAATATCTGACACCATGAGGGAGACCATGCTGGAAGACTCTTCATTGTATTCCAGCAATTTTTCAAGTGACCAATGTTTTTTTTTGGTTGTTGTTGTTGTTTTTACACCCAAAACATCAGCCACATGGATAGCACACACAGTCTGATGGCATCCCAGAGCATTGCGCCCCGTCTCTCGGCCCAGCCAGCCAGAGCGCCAAGTGAATGTAATCGACTCGGTGCACGAGCAAACGGGGGATTCAATAGTTGCCTGTTGTTACTTGATGACTTGAATTTGTTCCATGCTGTTTGTCCCTTCATGTCTAATGTATTACCGGGTTCTGTGCTGTAAAATCCAATCCCCCCCCCCAAAAAAATGCATGACTTATGGCTAAGTGAAGTCTTTGCTAATGTTTTATGGTCACAGCAGGCTGAGCCTTCATTGTCTTTGTTACTCACTTTGGCTGTTTTTTGTTTTGTTGTTGTTGTAACACACGGGCTCCTGGTCAGGTTCCGCTTTTTATTCAGTGAACTCCCGAGCCTGCCAGGCAGGGCTTTTGAGGGGAAGATCACATACATTGCCTTGACATCTTAGAGGTTCTTTCAGGGGTCGCTAAGGTTGTCCCAAAATAGGGGTTTGACAAATCCATATTTTTGAGAATTGAGCAAACATTTCTGTATATAACGAAGGCTGAAAGTATGTAGGAATATAAAACACAGACGCGCGCACACACACACACACACACACACACACACACACACACACACACACACACACTACGCACACATTAACCCAAAAGGGATTGTATTTTAGAAATATATATTATTTTATCCAAAAAAAAAAATGGGCCACAGAGGTATGAGACAAAAAAATAATATTTGTATAGTTTTCTTTGAATGCCTAAGAAGTACAGATGTATTGTTTGTACATAGTGTATATAACTGGGATAAATATGAGTATTATGTGCATGTAAAGTAAGAAGAGTCAAGGGGGTGGGGGTAGGGAGCACAACAAAGCAGTAGTGGCTGTGCTCTGTCAGAGGAAAACAATTTCACTATTGGAGTGTCTTATTTTGATTGTCCTGTTCAAAAAAAAAGAAACATTTTGCTCAAGCATGTGATTAATGCCACATGGAAAGTCAAATGAAAACTCTGTCTGTAGTGTTCGGGAAAGTCGGTCAAAATCACCCAAGTATGTTTATGTTCCTGTTTTTTTCCTTGGATTTATGTTGGGCTACCCAGAATCCTTTGCCAATGGTGACGAGGAGCGTCAATGCTGCACAGCTTAGGAAAACATCATTTGACAAGGCAGGCAAACATAGCGGCCAATACCTGTACTCGAGTCTCTCTCTCTACATTTACGGCTGACTGATCATCCCCAGGATACCGATAACAGTAAGAGGCAATCACGTTTCAGAAGAAGGCATTACATCACCATCACGATGACTCCTTAGCAGAGTTCACTTTGCAAAAGCTGTGGCGTTTTTCCAAGATTGTGATTGTCAGCCTTGAGCAGGCAGGTTCTTTCGCCCGCAAGCCAAAAGTCTCTTTCAATGTGGCACGCAGTTGCTGCTTCGTATTGAATGACGACATCCCCCTCACATTCAGTATTTCCTTCTTGATCAAGGCTGCCAAGTTCCAAAGTGAACTTGTGCTGTGTTTTGTGTGATGAGGTCAATGTTTCAAGCCGAAACACGTTAGTTAGTATTACGGTGCATGGCTGCATTTCCTTCCCAAGCAGCCCAAGGTGCTACTTTTACTGGATCCACAAGCGAAAATTAAAAATTGACACTCACTGTGTGCAAAACTACAGTCAATGGGTGTATTTTGCATCTTAGTTTGAATCGGCTGCCTCTGGTCGTGTTTGTTCAACAATAATTGGGCAAAATTGCTGTGTCTGTCTTTCACTTGCCTGTCCCTAATTGTGTTTTGTCTGTGTTTATGTTGGACGTGCCTCTTCACCCAAGGTCAAACAAATCTAAAAAAATGTCAATTTGAGTTACGGACAGATCAACATTGTTACCTTCCATTGGCCATGCCCTAGCTCATATGAGAGACTCTCGTGGCACCAGCGGCCGTCCATGCAGCTTGTCAACATGCAACTTTCTCCACTTCTTTTTTTTTTTTGGTTCTTTCCTTTGTCCTTTCATTCCTTTTGTCCGTTGCTTCTGCCTGGCACAGGGTTCTCAAATCCCATTCGGAAATGCCACTACTGGCGTTTGTTGCAATGCATAATCAACCTCAGGCGTGCAGGTGGGATGCATAGCCAATGCAAAGTTGCTAAAAGGGGGGGGGGGGCGGTTAATTACGCTTGCATGGGTAAAATAGTTACCTGGCTGATAGAAGTGCACCTGATGCATGCTTTCTTTCCTTGAATCAGTAGTCGGACAAACTTATGTCCAACAGGTTTGATGCGCCACTGACAGGCCAGAGAGCACATGCTCAACAAGCAGTTTGAATAAACAGTAGCTGCTTATGTTTTCATGGCAAAGCATGAGGACTCTTTTTCAGCCAGCTCGAAAGGAGCTTTTTTTTTTTTTTTTTTTTTTTTTTTGCTTTCTTTAATTGAGATTTGTCATTCCTTTCAGTCGAGTCTGTGTGCTTCAAATTTGAATGAGCTGATTCGCCAAACAACGCAGAAGACGTCGTCGCAAACATGTCATCGAGCAGCATTGCTCTGCTCCTTTGTCCCCCTTCTGTCTTTTACTCAGGGTGCCAAAATGGGGAGGAGGAAAGAGAGCAAAGCAGAATTGGATGAATTGGAATCACCCAAGTCGGTATGTTTCTTTTTGCAACGGTGGCCTGTCAAATGGGGTGGCCCAGCCGATTAGCATAAAACACAACAGAGAAGCTCTGTGGAATGAGCCTCTTTTTACTGAATAACACCCAACTATCAGCCTTTCCTCCTCCTCTTTTTGCCACCACCCGTGCCAGAGAGAGGTTCAGCCCAGACACATCGGGACAGCAAGAAGTCTCGCGACATCTTCCACTCGTTAACACAGAGCGATGCGTTCGGAACGATGGGCCGACTGACTCTTATGCAAGAAAAGCATTCGGTAGTTTACGGAGGCAAACGAAATGGCAACCTGTACCCAACTGCACGTTTTCACCCACTTCCAAAGGAGAAAAATAAAAAGGCCCGACTCCGATAGAAAGCTATGGGCCCTCTACACTCTGCATGTGATGAACTAGTGTTAGATCTCCTTTCCTCTCCTCTATAACGCTCTTTTTCTGTCTCCCCTGTTACAAAATGTGACTTTTCTCCTGCCCTCTAATGTTCCAGCTCCCATCGGTTCTCCGAATGTGTTTTTGCTTCCTTCTTGCTTTTTGCCCTCTCCTCTATCTCTTACCTTGTTTGTAGCTTTTGTTTTTGTAACTGTGCATGTACAAGCGTCACTGACTCGATGGATATGTTTAAAAAAAAAATACATGAATTGAAAAAAAAATGATTTCAGCTGCTCAAGCCATGCAAAACATTTTGAAATGCCCTTAAATATGGAAGATGTTTTCTGAATGCTTTATATTCTTTCTGCTGTAAAATAAAAAAAAAAAAAAATTGCGAGGAAAAAAAACTGTTGAAAGACTGTGTTTAAGCGTCGCTCATTTTTCCACTTGTGATTAATGTTATCCTTCGAAGCTCATTCGCACACTGAAGCGATATAGCTTGACCATGCACATTTTAATCCATGCAAAACTTGCATGCAGCATACATTCACACACACTGTGACCTTTCCAGGAAGAAATATCAAGACACTTTTTGCAACCTAAAGTGATGCTCATGGATGGCCTGTTTGTCTGGGGCCTCTAATGGTTTACTTGAACACTTGCAGAGGACACACAGTACATCTTCACTATTTTAAAATAGAAATAGGTACAAAGGTTGAGATTCATTTTGGCTTTTTCCATACAGCGTTACAGGTATGCATACAGGTTCAAGTACCGCATGCCCCCAAAAATGTACACTCTTTGCTCTGCTATCACATCTACATTTTGTTTTGAGTTAGGTGTTTGTTGACATAGTCTCATCAGTGAATTCAAAGAAAATACCGATATATTCAAGATAACTGAATGGCATGCCAAAAAATGTCACACCCTGCACTGTACATACCTTGCATAGGACCCGAATGACAAGGATTTTTTTAGGCTGATGCCGATTCTCATATTTGGCAGGATAGAATTCGGATAACTGATTCATTGATTCGAAAAAAAAATGAATAAAAGAACTTATTTTGGGGAACATTAATGCCGACAACAATAAAGATATGAACTAGACTTTGACTTTTAGGATTTGTTCAACTTTACAACAGAGAGACAAACTGGTGATTTTTTTGGGTTGAATATTATTATTGATGTCTCATGTTGTAATTTGTAAAAAAAAAAAAAAAACTTATACAAGAGCTAATATCAGCAGATTAAATCGGCCCACCAATTAATCGGGCAGGCCATCATAGATGCAGCATATAGAGTGTTTCTTTTTACCAAGTTCCATTTTCTCCTCGTTCATCATCACGATCGACTTGAACGGCTACTTTAATTTGCAAGGCATTTGTTGGACAACATGCACAAGGAACTCATTGAACATCTGTGAAGGACAACTACGAATTTTCACAAGTTGGGAAATTGTTCGGGAACAAGTGGAAATCCAAACCTCGTGCATGCATCCTTTTACTACTGCTGATTCTGTTCACGGTCACAAGTCAGCTTGAGGCTACTCCATCTGACTTTGGGCTAGATTGCTCACCATGCCACTTAATCACTGCCCAAGATCATCAGCTGAAGTCATGGAACGTGTGACTTTGGATTTCTTTGGTGCACCACAACAAGGCCCATTATGTCACCCTCAGATTAAAGAGCAATTCCTTCGGATGTTTCTTTGCCAATTTGTATGAATCTACACTTCTACTTTTAAGAGCTTCACTGAACTGAGTTTCTTGGACTTTCTTTGGTATCTCAAGCCATTTCTATTGCTTTCCCCAGAGTTGCGAGCACAATAGCAGAGACCCTGAAGACCGAAGGCAGAAGAATTCATCCAGACATGTCACTCCGCTCATCTCCATCATACGAGCGCACAGTCACACTGCTTCAAAGAATTCAATCAAAATTAGACTCATCAAAATATCCAAGTCGTGATTGCATACAGGACATGGGACTGCTCCCAGGTGATGCTTTCTATGGGGCATGTGCAGATTGTGTCACGAGGCTGGGCAAGCAGTGCAGCAGGTTCAGATTTTGCAGGGAGCGCGGGTCCAGGACAGGGTAGCTGGTTTATTTTCATTCAGCAGTTGAACTCTCCAAGCCCCGCTTTGGAACAACTCAGCCAATGTGGATCAGGAGCTCCATCAGCAACTTCCAGCTTTACCTGACGCAAACAAATCAGCACACCGTCTTGCAATTATCGGCCCGATAATCACGTCATGACCCACGCCTCAGGGTCCACCAAGTTTTACCCACTGCTGCCTTCACTGACTGTGGGCAAATGACGCCCGAGCAGGTCTTTGTGATATCACTCCATTGATGCAGCAGGCTGACCTAACCCTTGGATGCGCATGCAACGTGGAGAGGGGTCTTCATAAACCTCCACATTATTTCCAAAGGCTCTGGATGAAATGTAAAAGCATGCGAGACATCGCTGCCTGTAAGCCATCTGACATTTGCAGTCAATTGAAAATAAAGTGCTGTACACAGTATTCGAAAGGCCGCACATTACTTCGTGGCCCCGCTCTGGTTTGGTTTGAGGCTCCATTTATGCCTGAGTCAATATACTTTGCTTGAGTAGGTGGGGCAGCGAATGCAAAGATTCAAGCTTTACGATTAGTTTAAAAGATGTGAGCAGCAATTTGAAAAATCTCCTTCTGCACCTCTGTATGTTACTTGTGTATTCATCAGAAAGGCAAGGTCAGTGTTCAGTCTCTTGAATCATAATGAGAATTTTGGAGCAACAGTGACATTTAATTTTATGGTTGAAAGGCCAGATGGGCCATTAAGAGCTGCAGTGTATCATGAAAGGCTATTAAGATTTATATTCTGTAGTCGTCCGGGCCTTATCCCGCTTTCGAAAATAAATGTTGTGTGCCTGCACTTGGCATCAATACTGCTCTTTCTTGTCAGGACCTTTAAGGCTCATATGTTTTCTTCTATGGACTTGGAAACGCATTTTTAAATAAGTTTATTGTGTCAAATATCAAATATGATTAATCGAACATGTTCTAGAAAATCAAAAACCACTGGAGACTGCATGGTGCTCAGATGCCAATACTACATGAATACATAATACGCTGTTGTTGTTTTGCATTATCTTTATTAAAAGTTTAGTTGTCACTATTTCATTACTGGGCAACAATCATGAGTAACGTGTTACTTAATTGCATAAGTAATCAAATCTTGTCGGGTTGGTCAGTCACAGAATGACTGTGTGTTCTCCAGCAGCTGCTGAACGTGTACTGTGACTGTCCCTGCCAAGGTCACATGAATACTTCCACTAAAATTTTGTGGTGCTTCACCTTGTCAGAGGTACTGAACCCAACCAGTTTGTATGCACTTTCACCGAACTCTTCATTAGTGAAAAACAAAAATATGACTTTTTCTAAATTCAATACATAAAAAATGCATTTATTAAAAACAGAAAAAAGTAAATAAAATTTCAAGATTTAAGTATGTGTTTTTATTTTTTTTTATTTTACGATATACTACCTGTATCACGACACACGTTGACTACTGAGCGAACTAAATTTCCGGGAGCACTGATTGGACTCAACTTAACTCAACTCAACTGTATTTATAGAGCACTTTCAAACAGCCATCGCTGCACACAAAGTGCTGTACATGGAGCAACTAACATATACAACAGTAAAGCAACAAATCGGTAACAAAGATGGTAGAAAGCACCGAACAGCAAAACAAAGACCAAATCTGAGTCATGCTGAGTCAAATGCCAAAGAACACAAGTGAGTTTTGAGGCGGGTTTTAAAGATGGGCAGCGAGGAGGCTTGCCGAATGTTCAGTGGGAGGTCATTCCAAAGAGAGGGACCAGCAACGGAAAAGGCTCAATCTCCTCTGAGCCTCAGCTTAGTTCTTGGTACTTCTAATGCAGGGGTGGGCAATCCCAGTCCTGGAGGGCCGCTATCCTGCATGTTTTCCATCTGTCCCTTCTCCAACACACCTGATTCAAATGATCAGATCATCAGCAAGCTCTGTCGAGGCCTGAACAATTGAATCAGGTGTGTTGCAACAGGGACAGATGGAAAACATGCAGGATAGCGGCCCTCCAGGACTGGGATTGCCCACCCCTGTTCTAATGTCTGGTCCGCAGACCTGAGGGGCCGGGCAGGTGTGTAGGGGCGGATGAGCTCAGAGAGGTAAGGTGGCGCGAGTCAACAACGTCGTGATCATCTGCAGCCAGTGATGGCCAAGCGGGCAGGTCATAACTAATTGACATGTTGAGTCGGGCTGTGTCTTAACCTCTATGGCAGAGGCTCCGTCGAACCTCTGAGACCGATTCACCCAACCCCTAGGGTTGGATCGAACCCAGGTTAAGAACCACTGCACTGAATAGTCACAAATGCATCGACACGAGAGTGCTTACTGCCCATTACTACATTACTGGCAATACTTAAAGACGTGGTTTGTATTTAAAAAAGTAAGTATATCAACCCATTGGTGATATGGGCACCGTAATATGTCCTGATGACGCACGCACACACACACACCCATTGCACATAAATTGTAAAAAATTCTAACTTGTTTACACAATTATTTCAGGAATGGGAGCACACAGGCTTGTTTTTTGACTTATTAAAAAGGGCCACTCACTAATGTTGAACACAAGTCTGTTTGAGCAGTGTATGACCGGTAGATGGCGCCATTACGCCCAAAAAACTTGTGCCTCGTGTTCAATCTACTGTACAGTCAATACAATACAATACATCTTTATTTATATAGCGCTTTCACAACAGCTGCAGCTGTAACAAATCGCTTTACAGAACAGTTAACATAAAATAATATAACACAACACAACACGGACAGTGATGCAATCTTAACCACGTTTCCTGCATACGCTTTGTTGATTGTTTCGTACTTCATGTATCCATCCCCAGAGGCTGAAATGAAACGTCACCAAGGGCCAGGTTAAAAAAGTAAAAAAAAAAAATTTAAGCAAAGCAATCAGTCGGTAAATGCCACCACACGGTATGATATGTGGATTTACCCTAAACATTGCTGCCAAAATTAACCATTTAAAACAGCTGTATTTTACGTGAAAAAATAATACTGGGCTGCGCTTTCAATTGTATCCGTTTGCAAAATGAGCTGGGAAATAGAATGTGTGCTTTTGCAATGCATTGCAACCAGGGGCATATTTTGCACATCCTTTAGTGGAGCCGAGGACTAAATTGTTCCACTTTCCTGGGGTTATTATTCTCCCAAAAACAAAACACACGATTGTTTTATTGGTTATTTTGTAAAGTGTGCTGACACAACGCTGCATTCAAAGACAATTGGGAAATTCTAAAACACCCTCATCTCTATTGTAAGAGCGTTGACTCACATGAGTTGTTTTTTGTAAACAGTGGACAAAGACTTTCACTAAAGTCACTAAAGACGAAACATATTGTTGAAAGTTACGAATACACTTCTGCAGAAAGGCTGAATCTTCGCCTACCGGAAACACTCGAATGTAACAATGGACATTGCCCCCCACACACACACACACACACACACACACACACTCACGACGGTGAGTCCACGTCGGCTTCAAGTATCAATGTCAGGTGGGGTTTTGTTTCATTTGAACAACGGTAGTTGTGCACGCCTCTTCAAATTCCCACGTCAGTTTGGACGTTGTTCTTTTTTTTCTTTCGCAGTTGAGTTGCAAGTCAGCAGCAGCGGAAGACAAAGAAGAAGAAAAGAAAGGAAGAAAGTTGTCGCGCGGCTGCCGGCTGTCATGTCGGTTACTTGCTGAAAACACCGCCAGGGAAAAGGTCGGTTTCGCACTCTCATTTACCTTACACGATCCCCTGACAAAAAGGTGCTGCTTGCAGGATATTTTACGAATTGAAGCTTTTGGAAGTTTGTCACTTAGGACGAACCAGTTGACTATTTTTGGATGTTCAAGTAACTTGAGTGACATTCAGCTCAATGCTGACGGCCAACAATGTTGTCTTGTTGTAACTCTCTCCAAAGTTGTGTTGTTACGGAGCATCTTGATGCAATGATGGTCGGGTGATGGCAGAGCTCCACATTGACCAGTCCAACCTCCCCTGTGTGCAGGAAGGTTAGAAAATACACTCACACACACACACTCACACACACACTGATCCAGACCTTATTGCCATTTGCGCCAACGTGCGAAAAAAATCCTGAGTGAGTTTTGTGTTGAACTTGTTCGAAATGTTTGTGTTTTTGTGGCATAAATACTTTCTTGGCCCAACAACAAGCATTAGACAGTATAGTCCCAAATTTTCCTCGAAGAATAGAAGCTGAAAGTATTTGTCACACTGAATGGCCCAAGGTCCTGATACTTTTATCCAATTGTCAGTGCTTTTTTTGGGGGTTTTTTTGCGTATTTGTCAGCACCACTGAGTTTGAATTCAAGCACCTGGATTTTGCTTGTGCTTACTTGTGCCTTGTATTTCAAAAGGCTTCTCCAGTAATAGATTTTCAATATTAAGGAGTGTTCACCAAAAAGCTGTTGGTCATTCAACAGCTACGCCTAGCAACAACAACAACAACAACAAACTTGTAACTCCTCCCTGCCGGGCCACATCCTCCTGAGACACAGATAGCTAAAATGTAGAAGTGAATTCGCCTTTTGGATTAAAGATGAAAATCAACAAACAAGAGTCAAGCTTTGCTAAATGGCTGCGAAATGACACAAACTTTACAATGTGCTTTGGGGAAAAGTGATAAAATGGTTAAAAAAATTCTAGCTGACATTTTTCAGGAAGGTTTTTCTCACCATTCTATAACAAATTGAACTGACACTGAATTGTGGAGTTTTATTGAAAGTGTCTTTCTCTAAACTCCAACTCATACCTGGAACCAAAGTAAAACAGCCTAAACACAACCATGATTGAAGTGTGTGCAACATTTCCAGGCTGCCTCTTATTGACTCGTTTTTTGGAAATATGTAGGCCTGCATGTCTTTGGTATCGTGCTCGACCCCCGTCTGTTCACACAAAGGACACACTGTGTAGCGTTCACGCTTTATCGGGCAGTGCCTGTACGACAACATGGTGGTTGGAAACTCCTTGCAAAGATGATGAATTTATCCAGTCCTGCTGTTGTGGCACGTTGGTTGGCTCGGGGCTGTTTCCTCAAGAGATATGGGTGCCCTATGTCCCACTTTGCATCCTAGACAGCAGCGTTGCCTTTGTTTTCATGCTCAGTTCCTGTTTTTGGTCTCGTCTAGCTGCTCCTGATATAGCTCTCCATGTGCCGAGGCAACACAGCACCCTTTGGAATTCCCCTGTTAGCCCTCCATTCCTCATGTCCCTCTCGCTAACTAGTCAGCCAAGAACACCATGGACCCCCCCCCCCCATTTTTTTAACAGCCAGCTTGCCTGAACCAGTGCTTCTCACCGAGCCAGACAGATGACAATTCTAGACCGAGTTTTTGCTGAAGTACAGTACTGTACTCTACCAAAAGCAGCAGAACAGGCCAGTGAGGGGAGGGGTGGTTTGGAGGAGGGGGAGGCGTCTGTGTGCTGTGGCTGAAAAGAGAACCAATGTCCAAGTTCTTTGTTTGGTAGCTACAGTAGTGGTTGTTGCTGCTTTGCAAGTGCTTGGGAAGATGGAGGAAAACAACAATGGAGGTGGGCTGCTACCGCATGCCTCCTATGGTTGACGCCATAGGACTGACTCAAACAAAGCTTGATCAAGAAAACACACTTTGGCTAGAATTGCAGCACGTGTACGGTTTTTACTCTTGGAAATGAATGCCTCGTACAGTGTGCCTCCAAACCCGTTTGGTACGCAGTCTACTTGTCCCTCCCCCATCTGGCGAGTTGAACTGTCATGAGGGAAGAGTTTGGAAAAACAAGTTCACCTGCAATTCTGACACACCCTCGCAGCGCTTATGGGGAGGATGACTTCCATTTCCTTCCCTCCATTGCTGCTGTCTCGTCTCTGGATTTGCAGTCAACTGCGGCTATGTCTCACTGGACTGAAGCCAAGACCTAATCCCTGCTCACTGGCAGACTGGAAGCATACGGCCACTCGGAAATCCATTTAGTGGGCCGTCACTTATGGCCCACGACAGGTGTAAGTAAGAATGCATGTCTGCTTTGGAATGGGTTAACTCATTGAGGGCCAGCGGGGGTCATTTGTAGTGTCAACAGACATTTGTCCATGTCTCACTGTGGATCTCCCCACACGGTGTTTTCCAGTATGACGAATTCAAGCATGGATTTCCTTCATTTGAACTCAGAACAGCCTCAGAGGCGCTTCCACGTTTACAGCCCAAGTCTGACTCTCTTAACATTGACATCTTAACAGCTGCCTTATTGTGTGAGCAGGTTGGGTGCAGGAGCGCAGCAATGAAGCTGATAAATCACTTGGTGCGTTACTTTGGTGGGACTGCAACAAAGCCAGCTTAGTCTGTTGTGGTTGCTCTCTGAGCACAAAGCACCTTCAGGACTTGACTTTATTTGTAATGTGGCTTTTTATTGTCGAGCCAAACAGACAACAGATGGCTACTAGTTGTGAATGAACACAAATCAGAGCGTTGACAGCTAAACAATAACTGCCAAGGAGGTTTTTACATTTTTTTTTCTATGGATATGCTGTTGGAAACATTGTGTGCTGTAATATGCATTTTGGAGGAACTGTTGCATTTCTCTTGAGTGCGCTGAAGAGTGAACACCTGGGAACATAACTCCTACTCTGGCATCCCTTCACTGGCTCCCCATACATTATAGAGTTATTTTCAAGATCCTCTTATTTGTTTTCAAATCTCTAAATGACCTCGCGCCACCTTACCTCTCTGAACTCATCCGCCCCTACACACCTGCCCGGCGCCTCAGGTCTGCGGACCAGACATTATTAGAAGTACCAAGAACCAAACGGAGGCTCAGAGGGGATCGAGCCTTTTCTGTTGCTGCTCCCTCTCTCTGGAATGACCTCCCACTGAACATTCGGCAAGCCTCCTCGCTACCCATCACAAAACCCCGCCTCAAAACTCACTTGTATTCTTTAGCATTTGACTCAGCATGACTTAGTTATGTTCTTGGTTTTGATGTTCGGTGCTTTCTACCATCTTTATTACCGATTTGCTTTATTGTTTGTTGTATATGTTAAATTGCTCCATGTACAGCACTTTGTATGCAGCGATGGCTGTTTGAAAGTGCTCTATAAATACAGTTGAGTTGAGTTGAGAACAGAAATTTTAGCAGGCATATGGTTCAAAAATGATTTTCCAGCTGTCTATCTCGCTTGTTCAGATACCTAAAGGACATTTTCTTTGAGAATAAGTTCAGTGACATTGACTGCCAGCAACTAAAGTTAGTGCCTTGACAACTGTGGGCTTGCTCTTTTTCATGATGGAATGCATCACATATGATCAATGCATCGTGTGTGAGTAAATTGATGCCAGGGGTTGCTTTGATTTTCTTTCGTGTTCAGGAATGCGACTCTGTGTTTCTCTTTTGTCAACGTCTTTCACCTTCTGCCCGCATTTGTTCGTACGCTTCATTTGCTATTTGGAAATGCCCCCCCCCCTAACATTTCTGCTGTCTCGTTGTTTCAGTGTGCCAAAGTTTTGCTGTGTTGGAAGATGGTGTGTTGGCACACAATCTCCAGGAACAGGAAAGTAAGTAGAACATAAAGCTACTGTGTGACAGCTGAATATTGTGGCGGCCTGCCTCACTGAGTGTTTTCCGAGCCTTCTTCTCAACTTAAACTCATGCAAAGAGAAGAGAAAAAGACCTTCTTGAGCTACAAAAACAAGTTACAATTGTGCACATTTCTTTTGAAGAATACAGTGGTGTCTTGAGAAACGACTGATACTCCTTCCAGGTTTTTCAAGATCCGAGCTGTCCTTCGGCAAATGTTTTTTTTTTTTTTTGGTTCGGCTTCCGAGCAAATATTTCGAATTCAAGTGATGTATGTATGCTTCTGTTTCATGACTGTAAGCCCACTGTCTTAATGCTAACGCATAATGGGCAAAAGCCAAAGACGTGCTAACGAGTAACATAGGTGCTGCAATGATAAAATCCTTTCAGCAACGGCTATTTGAATACAAATGGTTGAGCAACACAACTAGACAGATGATGTACAATGCACTCGGGCATATACATGGGCACCTCTATATGCAGGGGATCGGGACCAGATCGGCTTGCGACAATCCGTGTGTAATTGACAGTCATAAATGTTTAAGGGAGAGGGAATGGAGAACTGAAATAGGCTACAGTGACGGCCTGGAAAAGCATATCATAAGAAGAATGCAACAGTCTGAAGTCAGTGGCTCACGGGCTTGATGCAGTTATTACAACCAAGGGTTATGCCACCCAATATGAAATGTTCTGCACTGTCAATTAATTTACTTGCAGCATGCTGTCCCAAACAAGGATGAAACTATCCTGATGATTTTAGCCATTCATTTGTGCGCAAAATATATCCATAAAAGTGGCCCAATCACTGCAAGAGATGAAACACATTTCGAAACACATACAGATAATTGGCAAATATTTCATGTTCTTCACTAAATATTTACAAAGACAAGTGCTCATAGACATGAAATGATGAAACAAAACACACCTTTTGCCTCTTCGGAGGGGCAGCCAGTGTAAAATTATCATTTGGTATGACTCCATAACAAACTCTGGCCGTACTTAAGGTGTCAAATACATTTTTTTGTGTGCCACGCTAAACAGGAAATGACCATTTGAAATGCAAATTTCAAAATAAAATCAAATCACTCCTGCTGTGACAAGATTATGGTTATTGACATTACTATTTTTGCTCACTTGCGAAGCTCTTTACAGAGTTTTTTAACACTTTAGATGTAAATGCCAGGAAATAAAAGCTGGACTTCTCAACTTTTGTCTCATCTTCCTCTTTCGATCTGAAACCCGAATATCTTTGGTATACAACAAAAACAAAGGAATTGACTTTGCCATTCCAATACTTTTGCAGCAGACGATAAATATAATTTCTTTAAGCCGCAAATAAGTGTTTTCCTTGAAAAATAGGGTTTGCCCAAAATAGCACAAAATAAGGCAAAAGCAGTCAATTTTCTTTGCATTCTGCTTAATTGTGTCATGAGTGTATGTTTCCATAAAGTAAGATGCTGAAGTGTTATTTTTCTCATTAAATTCACATTACAGTTTTAAGTATGAAGATGCAAAATCAAATGCTGGCTATTTTGAGCCTTGGTCTGTCAGATCGCGATCCGAGGGTTTCTTCTTTGGAGCATTCTTGTGTTGCCTCCTCTTAAGTTTGAACGCTCTGTCCCCCTTCCATGCGTTTCCCAAGTCGAGCAGTACTACACCACCAACATTCAGAAGAACCAGCTGATGCAGAGTGACATCCGTGTAGCCAAGCAGCTCCAGGATGAGGAGGAGGAGCAGCGGGCCCAGCACAGAGCCCTGCTGAGGCAAGAATCCCGACAACTGTAAGTGGCCCACTGCTCAGCCGTTATCAACACGTCCTGCCTGTGCTTTCTCACAATACAATTTGATTGATTAATAGGTTGCTCTATGTTACACGTTGTCTTCACAGGTTAACAAAAATTGACTTTCTTCTTTTGTTGCTGTCTTGCAGAGAGGAGCAGGACTTGGAGTATGCTCGTGTCATCCAGGAGGAGATCCGGAGGCGGGCCGAGGAGGCCTGGAGGAGGGAACGGGACGACGAGGTGAGCGCACATCTTCAAATCTCCTCAGATGACTTTTCATCTTCGCGCATATCTAGATGTACTGTGCTGTTCTTACGAGCAAGACACGGCGTACACACGATCCGAGCGGATAAAGACAATGCGCGAACGCTGACCGAAAACAAGAAATTGAATCACTTGTCTGGATAGAAGCCATTTGCAGATTCAGTCACTCTGGGACCTGAAAATATGATGGACAAGGACTCACAAAATGGTATCCTCATATGGAGGAGGCAGAAAGGCACCAAAACTTTGTTGATACGACTCTGTCTTCTTCACGAAATGGACCAGAGCAAATCTTGCCATTGACACGGGAAAAAAAAGGGTTGCAACTGATGCAGAGAGGCAACCAGATGGTAACCATCAGTCACCCTGTTCCGCTTTGCACTTACTGTAGAAGTCCGACCCCTTCCAAAACATTGCTGTTGCCTTTGCACATGGCAATGCACATCTCAACAATTCCCACATGTTGCACTTGCAAAAAAACAAACAAAAAAAAACAAAAAAACAAAAAACAAAACAAAAAGAATGGCTGAATAGTTTTAAGGAAAAGAACAAAGTGGGTAAAAGCTCTCGGTCTGGCCCAGTGGAGCGTTTTGCATTGTGTGGCTGCACCAGCATCACATTTTCCTTTAGCCTGCCCTTTCCTTTTTGAGAAGTCTGCCTTAGCCGAATTTATAAACGTCCCTTGTTGCAAGATGTGAGGTCAAAGAGGCGTTGGCGGGGACTGTCATTCATCGCCACGAAGGAGGTGCTGTGTGTGTTGAGGTCTCTGTGCTTGGTTGTAATTTTTAGCTCAACTGCAAGTTCGGAACTCATGGCTAACTGTGGGGACAGTAAATGTAAATAGCTAGTCTTGAGTCGATGTTTGTATCAAATAATGAACTATGAATGCATCTACTTTCTTGAACAGGCATCCGATTTGACGTGTTTATTGAATCTCTTCCTCCCTGTAGTTCGCGCCTTTAATTAAGGAACAGATGGCGTCAGGCTATGTCGGATAACACGCCAAATCCCTGTGGCATTCCACGCTTAACCTGACGTGACAAACTACTAATTGTCTGCTGATATTGACAAAGCTGCTGTCACACATTTTTATTGTGTAGCAAAATCTTAGCTTGTAGTAGTTGTGATGTATGTATCATTCAGATGCTGCTCACATTGAGCAGGTCACGCAGAGAATCTGTTGAGGCCCTCCAAGCATTATCTCGTGTCTCAGAAGGATAGACATTCCCCAGCGACAAGGTGCTACTTGCACTGAAATGGCCTGTTGAGGAGTGGCCGATGAAGCTGATGACAACGCGTATCTCGTGTCGTTCTTCCCTGTTTTCATACGGCGTAAGATGCAAACAAGTAACTTGCTTTCAATGTGACATCTACATCCAATTTGGTCTTCAGTAACACGTCAGGACATCAGTAAGCGCATGTATTATATCCTTAATGAACCATTCAGCCTAAACAAGATGTGCAAATTGGGTTGCTGTAGTCAGGAGCTCCAAGAATATGTCCAGAGGCATGGTGCCCACAAAACAAAACCAGCAGGAGTTTAATGAGCACTTAAAATCTTGCTCATAAAGTTCCAGTTAGTCAGTCCCCTGCGTGTTCTGGGATTCCTTTCACATTGTTCGTGTTATGTTGCCACCTGCTGGTTGTCAAGGGCACCGAAAGACAGCCCAACATTTTGCCATCAGAACAATCAGCTGTAAGCCTCCCTAATTACTCATTCGGGGTTTGTGTACAAGCTAATGTGTGCGGATGTGTGTGTGTCTAAAGGAAATGGCTAAACAGATGCAGGAGGAAGAAGAGCAGATGATGTGGAGAGCCAGGGAAGAAGAGGAGCACCGCCAAGGTAGACTTTCCATTGTTTTGCCATCACATTGCTTTTTTTACAACCACAGTGGGCCTGATGTATTACTGTTTCATTGACTTCTATCTTTTTTTGGGGTGGGAGGGGGTGGGGGGATAGTGTTCGCTGTCATTGATCTGTGTTTCTTATTGTGGATGGAATTGAACTGCAAATGAGATTTTTTTTTCTTCGAATGCAGCTCTATTGAATTAATAAGGCAGGTGGTTGATGGAAGTTTATGGGAGCGAGGCCTCGGGTGGAGACTTACCCGACCGATTTAATCCACCCCTCCCAGGGGTCAGGCCCATGGTGCCCACGGGCATCAGGTAGCACCGAAGGACCCCATGAGTAGCCGGCAGGCCTGTCTGACAAAGGTTACCAGCAATGGGACATTGCATTTTTCTAGGAATGGTGTTCAAGGGATGCTTTTGTGAATGGAAACCCTGGCAGAGACCTTTAGAAATAAAATGTTGCTCATTGATATGTCCTATAATTATCGAGAGAAATTATTCTGTTAGTGTTTTGAGGCCAGCAGAAAAGGCCTTGTGGTACCAGTATGGTTTCAGTTTGATTGTACAGTGTACAAACTAAATGAAGAAATAAGAATAGTCACATTCCAATGAAGGCATTTTACAGTTGCTTTTAAAGCAACACCAACAAATTTTATGTAGAGGTCACGCTCTCTCTGTGTTTCCTTCAATAAGTTGCATGCTGACACTGACGGTCCATTGCTATTCATTTTGAACTACCGCTAGCATGGCAGTACATTACCATTGTAAAAAAATCTGAAAACATTTAATAGCTCATCATGAAGCGCTCTGCTCTAATACCCGCTAACAGCTTCACGCACCCCCCTTGCTTTTGTGATTGCATGTTTGGCATAAATAAAGGCTGCTCCAGCGGTTCTGCACCGCCATCACCAAAGCAGCATGCACTCAACAGACACCATCCAGGTGAGGCACGGTACTCCCCTACTACCGCTAGGTGGCAGTATTCTAACACTCCCAACCCTCCAGGTTACTATACGCCTCCTCCACCTTACTACCCTGGCAGAGAAGGCCACGAGCATCCCCGTGGGCAACTCAGGAGGGAATTACAAGAGTCATTGCATGCAGACTCAGTTTTCTTTGAACAGAGACCAAATAAAAGCCAAAACACAGCGCCTCTCAATCGCAGGTCATCATTACGTTTGCCTCGAGAGAGAGACTACAGGACTCTCGCCACTCCCAGCAGCATCGTGGAGGAGCCTGAATACTGGGGACAGTATTGTGACAGTGGTGATCAAGAGAAGAGGACGGCACGGGACTGGGAGCAGGAAATGAACCGCCAAGTAGAAAATGGGACATGGACGATGTGCGGCAGTCAGAATGGAGCCTCAGGATCAGCGCAGGCCGGAGAACGGCGGTGCAGTCGTAGCGAATCCGTTCGCATTCCTGATCGTCCGAGACACGGCAGCGACTTATCCAGGACGTGGAGTTACCGAGACGGCGCCGATAAACGTGTCCGCTTCGCAGCCGACGCCGGCAGGTCCAGTGTGCGGCCGGACACGAGCATGCAGGTGTGGGAGATGCTCGGCCAAGTCCTCCGAGAGCGGGGTGTTCCTGTGAGCTTGGGAGGAAGCGGGGCACCGCTGAAAATAGGTCGTCAAAGCCCAGAAAGCCAGGCGCTTCACAGGACTGACATCCCCTGCAGCGACTCCCGACCGCATCGGCCAGCCTTCCAAAGAGCTGCCTCCGCCAGGCACAGTTTCCACGGCGACATTAGGGAAAGAAGGAGATTATCTCACCGGGAGAACAGTGAGCGAGATTACACAGGATCTGAAGACTGTCACCAGAACACTGTGGTGCACTCCGGAGAGCGTTCTCAGATCAGTGGCGTAGGCTGGCATCTGTCAAACGGGCAGAGGCAAGGCAGTCGAAGATGGACGCGCCAAGACGGGGGGAGCGCCGCATGCGAGGACGCGGTGGAGAGGTCTGCTGGCAGGCATCGGCACGAGACCGTCGACGAACGCTTCAATTCGGAGGAGGAGCGAGAGAGGGGAGCAGAGCGGCGCCCTCAGAGAAGCCTCAGCGGCTGGCTCAGGAGGAGACGCTTGGCAGCAGGTATCGTAACCGGCAGAGCCTCAGCTAAGTGCGACCTGCAAGAGGAGCACTCCGATGCTATTTCAGATCTCAGTTTAATTCTGCCTCATCTTCTCCAGTCGTCATCATGGACCAACTTTGGCTCTGGTAGTGCTTTAGGGTTTCCCAGCTCAACACGACGACGGTTTCCGCTTTCGTTTCTGCAGCCTAATCTTCAGCGTGTGTTTCACTTTCTAATTACTTCTTCCTCAGTCTCGATTTAGCCAGAGGAAATGGAAACTTGACATCCTCACGTTATTTGCTGGGTTCCTTCTTCGATGGCCTTTTGCTCTGCTTTAGCACATGTGTGATTGATTACTCATTTTCATGCTTGGATTTTATCTCAGACCTTTGAATTGCTTTGGGATTCTTAATGTCTGACATTGTAAACTCTTTAGGTGCATCGCTGCCCCTGAAGACGAGGCAGACGAGCCTGGACTTGGGTGACCTGCAGCAGGTCCTACATGATGAGGAGCTGGCCCGCAAGCTACAAGAGCAAGAGAACACGTTGTTGGCGAGGGTATGGGACTACTCTTCTTAAAGACCCTGTCAGAGATTTGATTCTAAATCCATCATGCATGTTCAAAACTTGCTGGAAACAAGTACAAAGACTGAGAACTGGGTAGTCCTCACTTGTGGAAAGCATTGTGATTTTTTTTTTTGTGGGGGGGTGGGGGCGCCTGGGCTAAAACTGCACCGCATTACGCACTCGACCCATTACAGTGCGCACAGCTTCTGGAAGCCTGTTAGCTTGCGAGCTAGCTGGTGGCTAGCACCTTTCAGCGGGTTGTGAAATGCCGTGCATCGACTCCATGGATTATATTCCAACCACCTGAAGCGCATATGTAGTTCAAGCATGTTGGAATATGTAGGCAGAAGGAAGATGCTGGACAAAATAATACCTGTCGTGGTAGTCATTAGACTGATCATTGTTAGGCGGGGCTTGGTTTTGGCCCATTCGGCGATATAATCGGTCATTTTTTGGCAAGATTGTGAAAAGCATTGTTCTCTTCAGATTTATGAGACATTAATTTTTAATTTACAGGGACTTGAACATTCTCTTGAGCATAATTTCTTTTGTCAGACCTCACAACCCCAGCCGTGTAATCCTCACCCCGAGGGAGACTTCCGTGTCGCACAGGTGGCCCAGGATGAGGTACGACGTGGCGACACGTGCCATTGTTGCCACTTTCGCTTTTTCTATTGTATCGCATTCCTAACTTGAGAGACATCGTTTCCCTCTAGGAAATCGCTCGCTATATGCAAAAGCAAGAAATCAAGTCAAAACGTCTGTCGCGAGAGTTGGAAGGACCGGCGTCGTGGCGGGAGCAACGAGCCATGATGAGTCATCACGACCGGAGACTGGCACGAGACAGACAGGTTGACGACATCTTGCGTGTTCGTTGGGAAATGTTTGCTGTTGATTCTTGATTTGCGTGCGTGTGTGTGTGTGTGATCTCTCTCACATAGTGAAACGGAGAAATGAGATATGAACTTTCACGGCAGTGAATGACTTCTTGTCTCCTGTCCCTTTGTCAGGCACCAAGAGAGAGGCTGGACTCGGAGGGGCTTCCCTACCCCAATGAGGACTGCTCTCCAGAGAACCAGCCGCCCAGCCCCGTCGCCATACTCACGTACTTGCCTCAGCACAAACATGTCCTGTCTCCGTTTTGATACCCTGCCATCCGCTGACCTGCTCGTGTTGCCTTTCCAGACAATCCCAGCAGGTCAGGAACATTGTGGAGGAACTGGACCCAACCTTCCAGGCCAAGAGCCAAGGAGCAGACATCCTCCAAATGGGCCAAAGCGGTAGAGTAAATCGTAGATAGCAGAGGAATGCTTGCTTTTGCATTCTTGCAAACAATGGTTGGGCACTCACCTCCTTTTCCTCCAACGCAGACAGCCCCGGTCAGTTACTTCCCAACTCGCACAACTTTCTCGTGGAGCCCACCTTCATCCCGCCCATTAAGCGTCAAAAGGACAAAGCTGGATGCACGAAATCCAAAGAGAAGAAGGAAAACTGTAAGCAACAATAATAACATTATAGGTCGAAGTGGACTTTTTTTGGTTTCTCTTTTACACTAATTATGACACGCACTTGTTTTCTAAACATGATTAGAACCTCATCAGCACTTTAGACCAGAAAGGTTGCCAGTCAATATATTCTATATTGTTTCTCCAAGCATTGAAATGGAATTGTTCAAGGTTATTCTGCCATCCATTCTAGTCTTTTTGGGTTTGTTTTTTTTTTTAACTGTAGATCATCGCTGTCCAACAAAAAGCATGTAGGGTTGTTGTGCCTTGAGATATGAGTTAACCCTCGGAAGTCATAACATTTGCATCCATTGAAATGAATGGTAATTCTTCAATTAAATGCTCCTCCTTTTGGTTTGCCCGCCTTGGCTACGTGGAGGTGGAATAAGACAGCCGGATATCGTGTTAAGTGAGGCATAATTATGACTTCCACCAGAGTTCCAGACAGGTCTTACCTCATCAGCCGCCAATTATACTGCAGCCTAGAAATCATGTGGCATTCATTAGAACGTCTCAACTCTGAGCTGAGTTCGTCAGTTGGCACTAATATTTGTCATCGTATGGAGAGGATGTGACTGTGAGTGAGGTTGGATTATCTGCCTACATGCCGTGTGCTCTTGCGTAAAGGGGCTCAAGCCTAAAGTGTAGTTGTCTTTGTTTTAAGTTGAGTTTGTCAGTTAGTCACACTAAAGAGCTCAAAGAATTGTTCACTCTTTGCCAAAGTGACGCATTTTGTAAAGGGGGTTGAGTTGAGTTCATCGCCTCCATAAAGCGCTCGTATCTCATGTCCACACTCGCAAGTCGAAGCCAAAAACGGTTGATTAATGGATGGCTTGTGTCTCAAGCAACTTGTAAATCAGGTCACTCATGTCTCAAGGGACATCCAAACTTTGTGGGGATTTTTTTTTTTTGTAGCTAAAAAGCACAATTGTTTTGTCTTGTTATATTAAAAATTGCAACTGCATGCTTTTGTCCTTTGTCTATTATTTTATAAAATATTTGAATACAACAGCACACCTGGATTTTTTTCAATTTGTGGCGGGAGTTAGTTTTCTGTACTCTATTTTTACCTTCAATAAAGGAAGTAAAACCTGTTGTCTTTCGTTGGCCTCATTGGTAACCATAGCGTATGGGAACGCTGTACTCATACTTGACAATCACACACTGTCACTTCTTTGCATGTACACATGATGGCCATTCATTTGGATGAATGTCTCTGCTCAAAATAAGAAGTTAGTGTCAAGAACCTTGTCCTGCGAGCCACTTCCACTTTTCGAGCAGTCCGAACAGCAAGCGAGTGAGGCATGCACTTGTACTGTGCACGGCAAACAAACCATTTCAGGTGCTGGCACCTGTTAAAAAAAAAAAAGACTAATGGATGGCTAAGCTGGATGAAACATTGGAATGAAAAAGGCTCAAAAATACATCGACCTGAATGTGAGATGTGCTTGAAGTTTGAATGCGTTCTTCATAGTCACATTTTGACAGCTTGCCTTGAGTGGTCAGGCCCACTGTTGAAAGACAACACAAGTCTATGCGCTGTGGTCTTGTACAGGTTTCAACCCTTTAGGAAGGTGTTTCACTCTAAAACTTGACTCTAAACCTGGACCATTAAAAAAATACTCAATTAAAGGAATACTTTATTTTCTCAATCTCATGACACACCAAAGTAAAAGATGAATTCTGTAAATGTCAAACATACGTTGATAGAATGCCATACAGTATGTGTAAGAGTTCGATTTTGTGACCCACGCGGGACATTTTGTGAATGTTCCATTTCTGCTTAAAATAAAAAATACAAATACATTCATGCAACGCTAAGATACGTTGACTAAAAGAAAATTCCCCTTGCTGTGATGTTGCAGCTCTGTGCCCACTCAAATGCCAGTCGACAATTTAAGTACAGGATGATGTCATGGGGGCTGGGGGGGTTTCCGTATTTTGTCTGACCCGTTCAGCAGTGATGTGTGTCACATTTTCCTGGAGGCGTTAAAAACAAGCGCAGCATTTACAATAAATCTAAATGATCTACCACCATTTAAACGCAATCTCCAACCTTCCATCCATCCTTGTAGCCCGCTTTATCCTGATGAGAATCTCAGAAAAACTGAAGATAAAGATCCCCACAATGAGCTTGGAGGCAATCCCATTGAATGTTTGACTTGTGGGCATGCGAGCGAGCGAGTCCCAGCTTGCACCTGGAGTCTTGCACAAAATATGGTTCCCAAAACACCAACCCACACACGCAGTTACTGTATTAAACACATTGAAATGCGGAACAAAGGGCACTAAGAAGCCCTATTTCCTGTATCCTTTTATACTGTATCAGGTTCATCAAATGCGCCAAGGCAGCGGTTCACAACCGCAGAATGGTTCCGCTTTGCTCAAGGCAAACAAAGAACAGACGTCACACAAAGGCAGGCCATTCATCTGTTGATTGGGTGTGCTGCCTTCAACTTGAATGTAATTGGGAAGATGCGTGAGAGACTTTGAGCTTCCCCCAGGATTCCCCTTCCTCCCCTATTTTTTTGCATCCTGGACTCAGGCCGTGCCACCACCGCTTGCTTGCCGGTCTGACTGACTGAAATGTTCCACCCACAAAGCAATAAAAGGACAGAGCACATACTGTACAACAAAGATGGGACACTGTACACAAAGTTTGTTTTCTTCCGTCAAGTGGAGAAATGTCATTTCAGTCACACCACAAGTTGGTCCCGGGATGTTTTGGAGGCTAAAGACTCCGAGCTGCTGCCCTGCTCTTCCTGGGCTTCATGAAAACTGCATTCGATTGCTATTAATGTCCTGGGATCATCTGAAGAAGGTAAAAAGGCATCAATCAAACATTGCATTGATATGGACGAATATCTGTGCCATATGAGTTTGTATTTGAATGTCTGAATTTCAATTTCAAGCCGATTTCCTTTTTTTTCCCTCTCATTGTAAAAAATGAGGGGAGTTTCCATGAACTCTGCACGGTAAGATGGAATCTGCTTACCAGTCAACCACCGTCCCACCCAACCATGTCCATCATAGTTTCCTTAATATTTGTCATCATACATTTCTCAGTGCATCTATAAAAAAAAAAAAAATCCAACCTTCAAGCACAAAGTATTTGATAACAATCAACTCACTTAAAATGATGTTATTCGGGCACTGCGTTTGGCCTGCCCGTCATTCCAAATCCACAAAAAAAAAAAAAAGTCACAGTACAAGATAAGCACAACTAAGCCACGTCTGCCATCTAGAGGTGAATGGTGGTCATACAACTGAAAACTATATAGTGGAACCCCACTAATTTGCAGAGCTTTGGAAGTCCAAATGCCGAAAATTCACGGATAATTTTGAGTGTGATGAATTGAAGTGAGGCTACATCCAAATCTTGCTGGCACAAATGCAAACTCCCCATTGGACTTCAAATTCAAGCTCAGATGGCACAGAATCACGTCTCTCTGTTTACATCGACTTTCGTACAGTTCAGCATCATACCTGTGCTTACCACCGGAGTGATTTGGACTTTTTCCTTCTTTCTTCTCATGCGGCAGAACACGGCAACGATAAGCGCGATGCTCAAGGCCAACAGGCACACGCTGGGCAACACAGACCAGACCAGCGGCCACACAAAGTCGCTGCCGTTGGATTCTGAAAGTCACAAGTGGCTGTGAATGACGCCAAAGACAAAAAGTTACAGTTGCGTGACGTGCAGGACGGACGTGACGTCATACCGGCTCGTTTCAGAGTGCTGCGTGAAACATTGATGCACTTTATGTCGGTGAAGGCATCGCCCCTGGCCGCAATCATTTCGTGTGGCTTGGCGCACCTCGGAAAAACAGATTTCAAGCATGCGGTGAGGTGAATCGAGCAGCAAACGATGGTTGCCATTGATATGCATCTCACTTGATACTCCAGGGTTTACACTTCTGATGCATTTGGTCATTGAAGGTCCCATTGGGACATGTTCTGCAAGAACCTGGCCAGGTGCAAAGGGCCGACTTTGGAAATCAGCCACAACAGTAAATGTGCTTGTGTGAAATCAGTTGTCAGCTTACGTTTCTCAGTGGGCTCCTCGCCTTTGCCGCACTTTTTGCGACAGAAGGAGCAGCGCTCGTCGCCACACATCAGGCCTTCCTTACATCCGCACTGTGTGTCGGTCGCGGCTGTACATTTCTTCACCAGAACTTGGGCCCCTGCGAGGCCCAGCACATTTTCTGTTGAAGGCTTGCACTGAAACCGTGCTGTGGGAAAAAAAAAAAAAAAAAAAAAAAACTGACCTTCACACTGAGTGCACCTGGAGCACTTGTAGTCTTTGGGCTTCTGTGTGTAGGTTCCGTTCTCACACGGAATGCAAAGAGTATCAGGGATGGCGCCGCAGTTCGAGACCAGCCGGTTGCCTGCACAAAAGTTTTGTCATTAAATCGTTTCTGGGCCACCGTCTGCATTTTTATTTATTTATTTATTTTGCTCGACAGCCGAGCTTTCACCGTAGCGTAGGCATGGCAAACTCCCGACGCAAGATGATAACGTGGTCCCCGGCCGGGCCTTGCGTTTGATACCTACCTTCTGACATTTTTTAATCGTGACTTTTTCACCACATGGTAGTAGTTCACAATGAGTCTTTGTCCACACAGAGTTTGACTGCACAGCAATAAGCTCGAGCCAGAAGAAAAAGCGTGCCGAAAAGGTGGAGAATGTCCAAAGTTTGAGATGCCAAGAGGGCATTCTGCCTGTACAGCAGTGTTTCACAAGCAGGGCTCGCTACGTGAAAGCACAGTGGCTTCATGGAAACATTTAGTTCCCAAATCCCTCACCAATCACAATAGCCGCGTGTCAACTCGTGTCTTATTCAAGCTCGGATAACTGATGAAAGTCAAACTGCTACAGGGGCTTGGTCTCTGAATGTTGTTCTTGTTCGGGGTTTGCTTCCTACTGAAGTTTACATGCCTGTTCAAAGGGGACCCATGCAGAGAAGCTCAGTTGTATTATTATTATTTTTTTGTAAATGATATAGGAATTATCTATAACAAGGGTGGGTTTATTATTTATTTTGATCCCTTTTTTAAATGTATGGGCAAAAATAATCATCTGCACCTCGCATGCACATTGTATTGCCATTACATGTTGAAATTGGTCGAGGACAGAGTCACATTTTTTGACCCTCTAATTTAGAGGTGTGCTGAAACATTTTGGAGTACAATTGCCACCCACGGCCACAAGGCCGGGAGTAAATGTTCAGAAAGCAAAATGTCTTTACTCAGAGTGCATGAGAGTCATCAGTGTAAACTTTGGGTTACTGAAGTATGTTCTCATCAAATAAAATGTGATTTTAATTGTTTGGAGTACAATGAATACACTACTTTGAGTACAATTTTACTCTCTTGAAAGTGTAAACTTTACTCTGTAAAACTGGGACCAAATATAATTAATCTTTTTCAGACAACAGGTTTCCTCGATTAGACTAAAACGAAATTGACTGTGTGTGCATTGAAGGAAGATTTTGATATTGCACTCCTGAGGCTCTTGGCGGCTTCATTAAGAGTTCTTTCGAAGGTTGATCGTTACAGACTGTGTAACATCCATGACAGAGGTTCTTCGACGACACTAGCAGATCATGTCGATGATGCTTCAAAATCTATCGTTCCCACTGACGGTCTCCCTGATGATGTGAATATCATTTGTTGCTACAGGCAGCAAACAATATCAACGAAAACGTTGCAGGAAAAAAAAAAGGTCCTCAAATGAGCACTGAATATACAGCAATCGTTTTGGTTCTCATAATGGTTGGTTGGTTCTTAATAAACCTAATAAGAATGAGTACGAAAAAATTCTGGGTAGTAGGGTATGTAGAAACTGTATTGTTTGAGTGTCTCATGACATAACAAATGGCTTTCCAAGATTGCGGGTTAAATGTCACGTGATGAAATGGTTCTTTTGTTTGTTTGTTTTACCCCGGGATACATTCCAACGCTGGCTGCGAGGCAAGCCTGATATGTGTGCGTGGAAAGTGTTCGCTCAGGTCACGGATTGAATTCGAAGATGCCTCCTGATGGAGTCACGAAGCATCCCTGAAAAGCTTTCAACTCACCCGGGTGACATTCCTCACAGCAAACTTCGTGCGGTCGTAGTGTGCTGCTCTTCCATGTCTTGCAGCCACGACTGATCTGCTCCAGCCTGCTCAGGGAGCCCCCAACCGGCAGCAGCAGCAGCAGCAGCAGCTCATGCTTGAAGTGTTCCCATCTGTACTGTCTAATGTACTATACTCTGACACTACTTTTTTGGGGGCACCTATAACGCAACCACCATTAGGGAATGGGAATTTTGAGTGCTTGTCCGAGCTCTACTGTTTTTGGTCTCGTTTTTTTGTCAAATAAATGTCCCCCCCAAAAGCTACTTGTTTTGCAGAGTCGTAGTGTGCTGCTCTTCCATGTCTTGCAGCGACTGCTGATCTGCTCCAGCCTCAGCAGGCCCCCCACCGCCGGCAGCAGCAGCAGCAGCAGCAGCGAGAAAAGGGGGAGGGGGAGGGGGCCCACCAGCACAGCCATGCAGCAAAGTAGCCGGGGCGGTATCGTGAGCTGACAAAACTGCCGTCTGTGCCTCTCGGCTGTGGTGGTGCTCCTGTTAGTGGTGGTGGGAAAGCCCAACGTGTTATATGCATCCCCTTCGGGTTTTTTTTGTTTTTAATCCTCCTATCAGGGGCGGGACTTTTAGTGACTTCTGGAGGGTGTCAAGTGGCTGTCGAAAGTCACACTTATTTACATTTCATTTGAATTGCTGCCCTGATACGGGAGAACCTTTCTCTCGGACCCAATAATAAAAACAACCTAAGTGCCATTGGAGGTCTTAGGTTTTATTTTCTTCCTGAAAAAAACAAAAACAAAACTTAAATGTCAACAGTCATTTTCAAATCAATTTATCACTTTTAAAATCCATCCATGCATGATCTGGATTGGTTATCCTCACGATCAGGGTGAAAGTCAGATTTTATTCCGTGGGGTTTTTTTTCAATTACGAAAATAACTCTATTGTATTGGGCTTTCACTTAAAAAAACATCGGAATAAAAACAAAATTAAACCGAATGTAAAGAATTAATCCGTTTGTGCACCAAGATGAATTCATTGCGGCGCCTTCTGCCTGTGCATGACTTGGCCACCGGGTGGCAAAATCAAGCAGTCGCGCAAACAAACGAAGAAGAACAGTTTTACCTAACTCATCCAAGTGATAAGGTCATCTGCAGTTTTAGTCGTTCTTCACATGATCAATAGTTTATGGTTGTGAGCAGCGGTGTCGATGTGTTGCTCCACCTTTTGTGTTCAAATAATACCACATTTTAACTTGCCCCCGCCTCGATTACTCGATATTGTTTTGTCATTTTGTTGAGAGACAAAACAAGTAGTCTGTGTTCGGAGGTTGGCAGGTGCGTCAAAGAGAAGAATAGTGCCTGTTTGTGATTGCATAGGACCGCACTTGGATACCGTGATTATTAGTCGCAGCCATCCTGGGTGGAATTCAACAGTCACCTTGCATGCAAGTGCTTTATCAAATTGTATGTCCCATTTTTCTCAAGGCGCTTGTCCTCTCTCTTGTCTAGTACAGGCTTGGCATTTTGCCCCTCAAAGCTAGCCGGAACATTTTCAGGGCAAGCCACATCAGCGCTGGAGTCGACAATCCAGCTTTGCTTTTCACACAAAACTGAGCAAAGTCAACACTGTGTGATTGCTGCGGATTCAGACGGGGACCATGTCAATGACCTGGCTGGACATTATTCCTTACCACGGCCTTTGTTTAGGCTCTGCTATAGGTGAAGGAAGGGACTCTTGAATTGGCCAATTTCACTTAAGTTTGATTCTTGCCCATTCAGTGTCTGTGCCGTCTACACATAGTATGTACTGTAGCTCCACGGCCTTGGTTTTAATATTCAATAGCTGTTGTTGAGGAGAACACATTGCAGCAATAAATCAATAGTAATGACTGAGTTAGAATTTTGGGCCGCTCTTGCTGACCAAGTTGTCATACTGTAAAACCTGTCGACTTCTTGCCTTTTTCTAGAAGCATGACAAGCAGAGCACTGACAACTAGCCATTCGCCCTTTGGAATGTCGCGTTCCAGCGTCATCTCGTGTCCGACCATTTCAAAATATTGTAATAATTCCTGCTTTCAAGATCCTTTCAATTTTGGGCCACCAGACACTGTAATTACAAACACGCTTTGAAAGTACTAAATTGCCCGAAAAGAAAACTGAAAGCACCTGAAAAATGATCCCGCCATCCATCCATTCAATTCGTTGTGGTGTTGGGAGATTAGAAAATTTCCCACACAGATAATGTGTCATGAGCCCACAGAGTGACTCAGCTCCTTTGCACTCTGCTTTGGTTTTGGGTAATTAAGCCTTCAACCTTGTGTTTTCCTTATTCTGTGAGCCTTAAAATTCCTCTACGTTTTCGTTGCTGTTTCAACTTGCCTGGATGGCACCTGACAACATTTTCAAATAAACTACCGGTAACTCACTATTGCCACACATCCACTTTCCAGACACTACAGTGGATGAAATTCAAGTCATTCATTTGGATTTGATTTGTTGACAGTGTCAGTGTGCCACAGGTGAGGTGTAAAGGATTTCAAATGTTACTCATATTAAATACATAAAATGTGATGGAACCAAATTTAGCCTGAGTCACAATCATGCAATTACTCATTTTGTCATGTGACATCCGATGAGCCACTCGTGCCCAATGTTATGTGTTTGTACCACGAGGTGACTGAGTCAAGCTCCAAAGTTTCCCCTGGTGATGTCACACTTGTGCTCCTGGTTTTTGTTTACCTTTGGTCATGGGCGGGGGTCATCCAGTGCTGTGTCACAAAAAAAAAAAAAAAAGGCCATTGAGCTGACTTCCCGCTCAAAAGCAACTGTAGTCTCAGTTCCTTGGGTGCGTCTTGATGAACTTTGGACTTTTGGGTGATTGTGAGAGCATTCTTGCGCTATCTTGTATGACAGTTTGGCCCACCTTCCGCACTTAGCCTACAACTTCCTTTAAAGTTGGCCACAAACCAAGGATGACATCATCCAGTCTGTGTTTGCATGTTGCCTGCGAGTTTGCTGCTTGAGGTTCTGTGGGGTCCGCTTGTTTGCATCATATGAAGGTGTCAATGGAGGCCTCTGAGCTCACATCCTTCCTGTGGGGGCACGTGGCGCACGTAACTCTTTTGATTTATGAGGAAAAAGGGGTCATGTGTGTGTGTGTGTGTGTGTGTGTGTGTGTGTGTGTGTGTGTGTGTGTGTGTGTGTGTGTGCGCGCGCGCGCGCTGTAGAATTATGAGAATGTCAATGAAATCTGCCCACTTGGAAAGTACATGTAGCAGCGAGGCTCAAGCCCCACGCAGTTTAACGCAAATGTCAGCTCGTTCTTTTTTTTCAACATCACACCTTTTGATGGTGCATCATGGCTTTGACTTGGGGGAATAACACGATTAGAACCGCCCACGTTTGAATTACACAATGGCTGCCCGTCAGTGAGGACCAATGTTTGCACCTGATAAAGAGGGACAGATTCAGACAGAACCTCCAACATAGAGATTTTTAATCATATATAATAAATTTCTATGTACAATTAACTTTTTGCTTGTAAAGAAAGCCGCTTGAGGAGAAAGCTCTGCTTGCCAACAGTGTTTGATACCAGCGGGAGGGAGAGACAACTTGGAAAAGTGCTCAGAAAACTTTGGAGGAGGGGTAAGAAGTCTGGATATTCAGGCCAGGGTTTAACTTGTAGTCAAAGGATGACAACATTTAAAGATGAGGGGCTTTGGCTTCATTAAGCTGGCTTTCTTTGACAAAACAGGGCCGTGTGACGTGAGCACATGCAAAGCAGTCAGCTCCCGCATACATCAACTTGTACGGTACACATTTTATGACTACTCGAGGCCAAATAAGGTTTGTGAGTCACTGCTGATACAAGTGGTGGCAAGTGCTGCTAAAATGAAAAGAAATAAGTAGATAAAAATAAAACCTCTTGATCATTCCATCTCAAGAGACTATTTGCCGAATTAGTAAACCTATAAAGTGGCGTCATGGAAAAGACATTGCGGAAACCCAATTGCTTTGCCGATGCTCAAGCCACACAGCCCCAATCGGAGACATAATTGAAGACTGTCTCAGGTTCACAATTTCCACTGTTTGCAATCCAATTTTCACCTGGCTTGAAACCAAAGTGATGGTCAACTTTCAAGTGTCTGACGCTGACGACGATACATTCAACAAAGCACAGCAACGACGGTGGAAATCGGCCATTGATTGACAGACGACTGATGCGTGATTGTCAGTCGGCCACAGTGGATGACGGATAGCGCCATCGATGCACCGCGATCAGATAAATTACAACACAAACATCCTCCAGCGTACAGCTGGTTCCTTTTCAACAACGCTCGGCCCAAATAAACCAAATGTCTTCTTCAAGCGCCTCAAAATCATGCGCTAGGCGGTCACCTCGTTACAATACAACCGAGACCAAGATACCCGCTGATCGCAAGCTGATCAGAGGTAGCGTGTGAGCGGTTGGCAGGTAAGCGCTTGGCAGGAGGGAACAGTGGTAATGCTACAGCATCGGGCACGGTCAAAAGAGGTGGGCGGCCACGTTGTTGGCGGTCTGGGGATTGAAATCCAGGCCTGGCCGGCGAAAAGGTCTTGCAGGGGAGAACATGCAAGATGGAATGAAGGAAGGCTCGGTTTGGCCGCTTTGAAGAATCACCACATTGAACAGCACTTCACAAACGGTATACTTCAGCCACACAACTGCCCATTGTCCTTTGCTGGCAGCGGGTCAGTCAGAGAGCCAGTCGAGGGGTTCGCTCCAACAGGGAGAGGCAGCGGCGGCGGCAGTTTTGTCCTGTCACATGATGTCAACAAAAAACTCACAGGGATTGCCCATAGCGTGCTGGAAGGATTGGCGGCTCGCGGTGAGCTCGGGGGGAAAGGCGGCGAGCTCTCTCCCGGGGGGCGCTCCCGGTGGCGTGCTGCCGCTGACGGAAGCCTTGGGGGCCAGCCGGGCCAGACAATACGGCGGCGGCAAGCCAGGGGGGCCGTAGGAGGACGCGTGGCTGGGCTCGCTCCGGGCGCAGGAGCCCGGCCCCGGCTGGGACGGGGACAGGTGGCCGTAGGTGAAGGAGGCGGGCTGGCGACTGGATCGGGCGTGGCTGCGATGACTCATTTGGCTGGGGCATCTGTCGGCGCGCCTTCCTCCACGCGCGGCTGCCTCCGACTCGCTGCATGTCGACTTGGGTGCCTTCTCCTTGCCCGCGCTGGGGTTGGAGCCACTGCTACGGCTTCCTGTCCACAAGACACAGTTGTCCCACCTCAGCAGAAGAACGGCAAAGTCATGCATGAGCCAAGATGACAGACAGTTTACGTGAGAGGAAATTTCATGTCACACCACTAAACTAAGTATAGATTAGATCATGAACTAATGACAATCTTATCTCTCGTTAGTATGAAATCTGGGCCTCTTTAGTTGAACACAAAGCTCTGAATTGGCTGTATAGATGGCAAAGCAAGTTAATTTGTACCTTATGCCATTCGGCATCTATCCCACTGAGCAGCCAACAATTGAGGATGTTTTCGAAGGCAGCGAATGCTACATTCACACGTTCTTCAGGGTTCCTTCAAGGTCGCAAATGTTCGCCTGTACTTTTCCTGAATTTGAACATGATCAACATTCCGTAGCGACAAGAACAATCCCTCAAAATGTAGGCGAAGGTTTTGTGACCTTGAACTAACCCTGACAAACTCTGACATGGACGTGCATTTCTCTACCTTCGGAGGCATTATCATTTTATTTTTTACAACGCTTTTCCTGAAGAAGGATGGGGTTGGGGGCGGGGGGGCTATCCCGGCTGACTACATCCTGGACTGGTCGCCATCTAGACGAGGGCACACACAGAGCTGGAGAACCACCCACATCTACACAGTCACTGAACGGGAACCAATCCCGTGCTGCCTGCATCCGAGTCAGCCGAATGTACCACTATGCCATCGCCGTCCATCATTAGTGGAAAAGCATTCCTCCTCTCATAAAACATTTTCCAACCAATGAAGTGAAACTGGATGGTTTCCCACGGCACATTTGATGAACTCACAAGAATAGGAGGCGGCACAGTGGTTGCGAAACTGTGTTTGAGCAAGCAAGGAAACACATTTGGGAACTTAAAGAGAAATGGGTGCCACGAATGTCACTAAAGAGACCATTTCTCACAGCCGGTCAGCTGAAGAAATGACAGCATATTTAGTGCCATGTCATTATTATATAGATATATATACGGAATACGGAGAGAGGTGGGATACACTCTAGACCGCCATTGTACATGTAATATTTTGTCGATTTTTTTTCATTTTGGAGATTAAAATATGGAATTTTGAATATTTCAATATGTGGGCTGTTAAAGTTTTCAAGTATGTTAAGAGAGGCTTGATGAGACATTTACAGTACATCCTACAACGACATAAATTTGTTTTTTATACCGCAGTGAATCTGACTCACCACATTTATCGGAAGAGAGCATGATAGTTTTGTACGTGCACTCACACCCTGATGATGAAATTTGAGTCCATGCGTTTACAAAATCTTCTGATCGGATCTCACTTCCTCTACGCTGAATTTGCAATGGTGGTTGGTGCGCTACCCCCTAGAGCCTGACAATGGCGACACTGCTCATTTTCCGTTCCCTGAACATTGACGTCAAAAAAATTTACAGTAGCTTCCAAGAAAGCATAAAAGCTTACAAAGTCAAAACATGCAAAAATGCAACATCTATGGACTTTTGAAAAAAATGGATTACGCTGTGACCCTGATAGGAATACAACGGTGATCAACACATATTTCCACATGTAATATGAATATGGTCAACAGAAGTGTACCACACGGCCGCAATGTCAGTGTAAAACATGGCCCACTTGATGAGTCACAATGAGTCCAACGGTACTGGGTATAAAAGTTGCATCGCTGACAAAGAGCGCAGTGCCTTTACACCGGTCATCCTGCATAGAGTACTAGTATGTCCTGGCACAAGATGAACACATGCCCAAAGGTGCAGAGAGGGATGACACACGAGACAAAGGTAAATGCTTA